ATAGTAATCCATATTATTAGAAGAATTTATTATTGCTTCAGAAAGTATTTACCTCAAACTTCCCATTCTGAAATGTTGTCAAATATATTTATCTTATACTTAGCTCACAACCCAATTAAAAAGTTTACCTCTCAGAAAGATTTTACTCGCTGGCCAATTATTTGAAAGCTCTAAACTGATTATCTTTTTTGTCCTGTTTCTCCTATCACAAAGAGCACAGGATGGACAAAGTAAGAAAATAAATGACTTTAAAAAGGGAAGGTTTTACCTTTTAACTTAAGCAATTAAACAGTTGCTTTACAGAAAAAAGACAGGTATGTTAAAGATGGTTCCCAGTAAAGGTATAGTCAAAGTATGAAAGAAATTTTGTTAACCCACTGTTCTGGTCAAAATATAGGTTCTTAATGAAAAATACATGTTGGGAAATAATGTGGCATGACTGGTCAATATTTTTCTTTCTATGAATCAGATCTATTAACTGGAGTTTGTTAGTCCTATACCTATACAGACTTAAATCATCAAATAAACTGAGCAAGAGAGACACTGGTCCTTCAAATTCAATGTACAGAATTCCAGTTTCCTGCATTGAGAAGAGTCTAATTGCGTGTCAACAAAGATGAAGACTATTTCAAGATTACTCAATGCAAGAAAAAGGTTAATAAAATTCCTATTTTAAAAGAAAGGTACTTCCAGTCTATACCCTATGTGCACCATTATGAACAAATTTCTGATACATGTCAATTAATTTATTCCTAATAATATGCAAACCTGCAAGTTAAATTTGACCTCTCAAAAACAAAGGTGTTACTTTTCTACGAGTCATTTAAGAATTCCTATTAGGCAATGATTTTTATAGTAGAGAAAAGGAGTAAAACATTTAATATAAGAATGTCTTATAATCTAACTCTGGAGCAGAAAGTAAATAACATATTCAAGTAATAACGAAAAAATATTTCTGCCAAGATCAACAATACACACTGGCTAAGACGGGTTAATGGTTTATTTATAAAAATAAATACAAATACTACATTCTAATATTTATTATCTTTACTGAGGAGAAAAAAGTAGCTAAAAGCACTACTAATTTTATACACATGTTCTGGAAAAGGATTTCAACTAAATATTCCTAAGCCTTTTGATCAACTAAGTCTAACAGGCATCCAAACTGCAAATATGAAGCCCACCACAAACAAGTGGGTTGAAAATTAAAGATGATTTTAAATTTGCCTAAAATGAAGTCTTATCAAACGAAACCAGGATTTAGAAAGCCCAGCACTTTTCAATTTGCTTAAATATCCAAGGGCCTTCAAATAGCAGAAAACAAATGCTACTCTACAAATACTTTGTTAACATTCAAAACCTTGATGTTTCTAAACATTTTACAGCAATTCAAATAACCTAATGAAAGTCCAACTGCTGAACATATACTGAAATATAAAATGTAAATTGTCAAAACTATAGTCAAGTTGACTTGACTCTATGGTTGTTTCTTTACCCCTTGACCCTAAAATTTTCTAGCCTATAGCAGATGCAGAAAAGACACATCTGGAAAAAATAATGTACAACTGAGGAAATTCTGGAAACCACGGTGGCTACCAGGAATCATTTAGTTCAACAAATATTTGAGTGTCTAAGTGGGCCTCACCTGTGTGGATAGACAACCAAAAGATACAGTGTTTGCCATGAGGAGTTGTATGAGTAAACAAATGACTACATTACCATGCATCACACAAAGTAATCTAAGAATGGACCTGGAAATTAGACTTCACTTTTCCTTCTATTTCACTCCCATGCCATATTAAATTTATTAAATAAGCATATATTTACTAAAGGAGCTACTGCTGTGTGTCAGGGACAGCAACAAAGGAGAAAAGGAGGCAACTAAGTTACTGATGATGACTACTCTGCCAAGTACTGTGTTAAAGGTTCTGAATACTTTGTAATTTAGATTCAGTAACTGATAAGGTAGATAATAAAAAATAATTCACGTTGAATTTTAATGGAATGTGATCTAATTTATGGCCAGTCTGATAAGCTCAAAATGTTATTTTTATCATCGTTTCTGTTATTTTTATCATATCAAAATGTTATTTTTATATTTATCACAGCTTATTTATAAGCTTTCACAGACTAACCAATATCCTCATGAATACAGAACTATAAATTCTCAACAAAATTTTAGCAAATCTAGCAATACTTAAGAACAATAATACACTATGACCAAGTCAAGGTTATCCCAGGAATACAAGGTTGGTTTAACATCAAAAAATAATCAACAGAATTTACCTATTAACAAACAAAAAAAGAAAACCCTATTAGTTCAGTAGATAAATAAAAAGCTTTTGACAAAATCCAAAGCCCATCATGATAAAAACTCTTAGAAAACTAGAAACAGAAGGGAGAAGAATTTTTAAAGTAGTTATTATAGCTTAAAGGATACGTTCATAACGAACCCAAGACTGGAAACTGCAGAAGAGAAATAAAAACTATTAAAAAAGAATCAAACTGAGGGGCGCCTGGGTGGCTCAGTCAGTTAAGCACCCGACTTGATCTCAGCTCAGGTCTCGATTTCAGGGTTGTGAATTCAAGCCCTGTGTTGGGCTCCATGCTGGGCATGGAGTCTACTTAAAGAAAAAAAAAAAAAATCAAATTGAAACTCTAGAACTAAAAAATTCAATACCTAAAATAAATGTGACCCAAGAAAGACAGCATTAAGTACAGTTTCTCAAATTTTTTACTATTGTGTAGTGTTTAGTCATTGTATTATAATTTTAAAAAGTCTGAAACAGAGAAATATCAACAAAACATTAAAATGTGGGCTAGAGAAATAGATCATCTCTTGATTTTGTGTGTGGTTTTCAATTTCCTTGTATTTAAAATATGAAGGCAAGTTAATTAATTCATTTACTTAAAAACTGATTGATAGAAAAAAATGAAATCTTGCCATTTGCAATGATGTAGATGGAACTAGAGGGTATTATGCTAAGCAAAATTAGTCAATCAAAGAAAGACAATTATCTTATGATTTCACTGATATGCAGAATTTAAGAAACAAGGCAAAGGAACACAGGGGAAAAGAGGAAAAAATGAAACAAGACAAAACCAGAGAGGGAGACAGACTGTGAGAGACTAGTAATCTTAGGAAGCAGACTGAGGGTTGCTGGAGGGGAGGGGGGTGAGGAGGATGGGATGGCTGGGTGATGGACACTGGGGTGTTGTGTAAGACTGATGAATCACAGACCTGTACCCCGGAAACAATACATTATATGTTAATTAATTAAATTTAAATTTAAAAAAATGACTGATAGCCCGCTAACAGTTAAAACACTGATAATGTGAAGTCAGAAGAAAAACAAAAGTAGTCTCCATCCTCAAGGACCAACCTAGAGGGAAGAATTCAGTCTCTAAGACCCCCTTCTAATGACGCAATTGTGTATTTATTTAGTGAGATGAATCCTTCCCCAATTACCCCAAAAGGGATCCTGTATATATTGGCACAGTATAGATAACACATTTCTCAAAATTTCAACAATCCTATTATCAATATAGTGAGGATTTTCTTGAATGAGCTTTACTTGACTAAACTCTATTTTCACATAATTTCTAAAAGTTGCACATGTCATAATTTAAATATTTCTAGTAAAATATAAAATTTGACAACTGGAATTTCTACACTTTTTTTGTTGTTCTAAAAGATCTGCGGGATAATTCTTATTTCTGAATCACTTAATACTTTCACATGCTTATAAAAAACTAAAGGATCAAAACACTGAAGAATGGTGCAACTAAAGAATGTTCAGTGAAACTTACAAGGATCTTTCTTTAGATCCAAAAAATGTGGAAATCACAAGTTCAAGAGTCAGATCCTCTACAAAAGATTTCATAAAATGTTTTATCATTTTAAAAGATATGAAGAACTTACTCGTGTATTAAAAAATAGGGAGGGACTCCATAAAACTATGAAACAACGTAAGAGCAAATGTAGCCAGCAGCTCAGAGCATGGACCCTGGGATTAGAAAGAAATGGATTTAAGTCTAGGGTTTATTACCTTCTAAGATAAAGGACCTTAGACTAGTTAACTGTTTCATCTATAGAACATCTGTAAACTATCACAGGGTCATTGTGTAGACTAAATAAGAAAATTACTGTTAGTCATATAAATTGATACAACTCTTTAGAAAGGCATTTTGCCAACATTCCTGAAGTGTATTCTTACGGACTGCTGAATGGGGGAAAAAAGCTAACAGATTCTATAAGTTTGGGGAACTCTGGTTTATTTCAGGGCTTCTTAATCTTTCATACGTGCATGTACACTGTGGGTTTCCAAAAAGGTAATATAATACTTAGCAATAATAAAACTTATTTGACCATGGTAGGCCGTTTTCACTAAGTACCTCAAAGGACTAGTGTGTTCCACTGAAATCAAATTTTGGAAACTGTAAACTGGGCACTATGAAGAGCTATAAAAGTGTTCACGCCCTCTTGATCCAGTAGATCAATCCCACAGCATTTTTATAAGTTAATTATTTGAAAACCTGAAGCCAATAAGACGACACTTTGCATACTTTTATCATAGTAAAAATCAGATGAAACCTCAATATCCAATGACAAAGGAATAAACAGTGATGTATCAGTGTTAAAAATTTAGATTACAGCTACTAAAAGCGCCAGAATGAAGACTGTAGTTCCACAGAAATTTCTGTTAAAAGACAGAATCCAATTTTCTATGCATGTCAGAATTAAGACAACATAAAAATCTATGTATATGGACAAAAACTCACAAGAACAGTGGAAAATGAAACAAGTTAATTTTCCATATAGTGGGACTGGGGTAATCCTTTTATTTAGTTTCTTTAACTTTTATGGTGTGGTGTATGTAATAGATAAAAAGTGGTATCTGTAAAGAAAGATACAAAGGTAAGACTTTTGATTAAAAACTATTTTAATATGGCTCTGTTCCTATTAAGTTTCCTGGTAATCAATGATATTTTAATTATAGGACCATTCAAAGACTGTCAGCATGCAAAAGAAGCTGGACATTCAGTCAGTGGGATTTATATGATTAAACCTGAAAACAGCAATGGACCAATACAGTTATGGTGTGAGAACAGTTTGGATCCTGGGGGTTGGACTGTTATTCAGAAAAGAACAGATGGCTCTGTCAACTTCTTCAGAAATTGGGAAAATTATAAGGTAAATCAGTGATTGAGACCTCAGAGGTGGAACATACAGCTCTTTCAGAGTAGCCATTCTGTGCAATAAGTAACACAGTTTTAAAATAACTACCCATATATTTTTCATTATCTACCTTTGTCAAAAGGTAATTCTCATCTCCAGTTTTAAGGTCAAAATTAAAAGGTAAAAGGGAAACCGAAGATATCCTTTAAACTGCCCCTTTTCAGTCTGGATGATTTTTACATATATTTAATTCTTAGCAAAGACTACTGCTGATTCCATTTTCTAAAAAGACAGCTGCTTTTTTCTTTATGACCATGTTTGTACCCATCAGCAACTGTATTTAAGCAATAATATGAACATAGAACTTCAAAAAATGACCCTTTCTCTAGGACTGATTACCTCTGATAATCATCCCCCGTGTTTTAAACTGCTAACACCAGACACTGGTGCTTCTGGGAGGTAACGTACACCTGGACTGTCATACAGGACCAGAGCCATGCTGTAGTAATGCTGGAAAAGTAAGCAACTAGTTTTTGTTAATAATTTTGATGTTTACATGCTAATTTTATGAGTGGTATACACCCTCCAGTTTAAGGATGGCAGATGGGGGAGATTGTATTTTCTAGACGGTCAATTCTTCATTCAAAATTGTGTAAGTCACGTGATTACTCACTTCTAGGTGACATTTTACTGGCAGTTAAAAATGAGACATTAATACATCCATGTCAAAAGTTATATAAATTTCTAAACAAATAACTAGGGGGAAAATAGTCCTACAACACAACCTTCTTGAAAACACAGTGTTAAGATCAGGTTTACCAAGCCTTACATTGTGCTGCATACCTGCCATGGTGAATGCTTACTGAAATAGGAGAGTTCATTGATTGTTTTAAAAACAGTCTGCAATTTTTCCAAGGTGGAACTCTGAAGATTACTGTTATATCTTCTCCTATTTAATTATAACAGAGCTAAAGAAGACAATTTGTTTTAACAACAGAATACTATCATTTTTATTGAGTGATCATAATAATGTTAGCTACCCTTTTTGTCTGACTATTGGGGTGAGGGGACAGTTACATAAATACTTTCAGGAAAAAAAATTTGGCTCTTTGTGTATGAGAGAGATCAGGAATCCTTTTCAGGGATTTAGGTAGTTCCTAGTTAATGTTTTTAGTAGCTAGGAATAATTTTCATTCTTTTGCCTTTTTCTTATCCATAAAGTTTGAAGCTAGCTGTGCAAATAAACACAGACAAACTAAGAGAAAGCAAAAAAAAACAAAGTGACTATGTGGGGCTTATAAAGATGAGGTGACCTATTAAAAGGGAAGTTCACATTACCACTTAAATGGTGAACAGTTACGTTATCAAAGATTTAAAACTTATCCGTAAAAAAGTTTACTATCTCTACACTTATTTATGTCCTCATGCTGTTTGTTTATTAACAGAAAGGGTTTGGAAACATTGATGGAGAATATTGGCTTGGACTGGAAAATATCTATATGCTTAGCAACCAAGATAATTATAAGTTGTTGATTGAATTAGAAGACTGGAGTGACAAAAAAGTCTACGCAGAATACAGCAGCTTTCGCCTGGAACCTGAAAGTGAATTCTTTAGACTGCGTCTGGGAACTTACCAGGGAAATGCAGGGGACTCCATGATGTGGCATAATGGTAAACAGTTCACCACACTGGACAGAGATAAAGATATGTATGCAGGTGAGTAAGAAAAAACTGATGTGCATTCTTTGTAGAACCACTAACTGCTATGCATTACAGAGAACCTTGCTATTAAAGGATATGCTACTAAAAATCTTTCCATAAAGGTAATTTTGGACTCAGTCATAGGTTACATAAGCTGCTGAAAGGTCAGTATCTCTTCTATAAGGCAATCCCAAAGTGTGAATGCACTCTGTGAAAAGCAAAGTTCTATCATTCTAACCTGGGGGTGGGGAACAAAGCAAAAGCTCATTCACCTGGCAAGAAAACTCTCTAATGCCTAAAATTCATAACTACTACTAACTAAATACCTACCACGTGCTCGGCACTGTTGTAGGTGCTAAGTATACAGCAACAAAAAAAGTTCCTGCCCTTCTAGAGCTTACTCTCTAGGAGACAAAATGATTTGTCAGGTGGTGACAAGTACTCTAATAAAAATAAAACCAGTGAGGGAAAAATGAGTGATGAGCAGCTGGGGGTTAGATGGGTGCTATTTTATACAGAGTGCCTGAGAAAGGTTACTTTGAGAAGGTAACATTTGAATAAAGACCTGAAGGGAGTGAAGGAGGCCAGCCATTTGGGGACATGGCTTTGAAAAAGGCATTTCTTAGTACCCACATGAGAAGGAACAGTAGGACTGCAACATATGGTAGGAAGAGCAAAAAAGCTTTATTCAGAGGGGAAATTAATATCCTCTTTAAAATCAGTTAGGCAATCCAGATATAATAACTCTTAACATTGGGGTGCCTGGGTGGCTCAGTCGGTTAAGCATCTGCCTTCGGCTCAGGTCATGATCCCAGGGTCCTGGGATTGAGCCCCATGTAGGGAGCCTGCTTGCTTCCCCCTCTGCACCTCCTCCCCTCCTGCTCGTGTGCATGCAGTCTCTAATAAATAAAATCTAAAAAAAAAAAAAACAAAACAACCCAACATTAATTTTCATATACTTCTACCTTTTTTAAAAAAAGATTTTATTTATTTGTCAGAGAGAGAGAGAGAGCACAAGCAGGGAAAGCAGCAGGCAGAGGGGGAGGAGAAGCAGGCTTCTCACTGAGCAAGGGGCCGGATGCAGGACTCCATCCCAGGACTCTGGGATCAAGATCTGAGCCAAAGGCAGATGCTTAACCAACTGAGCCACCTAGAAGCCCTACTTTTGACTTTTTAACCCAGGTTTGTGGCCCTGATAAAGAGATATCCCTCCTGAAAACAGATCTATTTTTCTGTTCAGCTGTACCTTGGCCAGGAGCACATAGGTCTCTATGTTAACCTATCTTATAATGGCAAAAGAGGAAAAAAGGAAGAGATATAACTGAAGTATTCACCATATTTACAGAAACACATTTGACCACCTGAGTGCTATTCTATTTTATATTATTTTGTGCTATTTTAAGAATTCAATTTTCCCAAATTTACTTTTAGCAACTCTGTATCTTTCTTTCCCAATCTCTCCAATCTCTCCCTCTTTCTCACAAATGCCATTTGTGTTTTATTTACCCTGCTACCCAGAAAATTGAATCACTTAATAAAAAAAAAGCATGTAGTAAACAAGCAAAGGGCAAGATAAAGGCAATTCAAGTGATATTTCAAGTAGTTGACACTTCAGGAATAGTAACAGAATGAATGAAGAAACAAATCCACAAAGATAAAGGTAACTGAAACCAGTAAGAAAAACTCAAATTAAACCGTTCCAAAGGCAGCATAAGTTTTTGATGGTTTGCAGAGTACCACACTTAGAAGAATCCTTTACTTTGATATCTCTATTTTTTTCCTCAAAGGAAACTGTGCCCACTTTCATAAAGGAGGATGGTGGTACAACGCCTGTGCACATTCTAACCTAAATGGAGTATGGTACAGAGGAGGCCATTACAGAAGCAAGTACCAAGATGGAATTTTTTGGGCTGAATATCGAGGCGGGTCATACTCCTTGAGAGCAGTTCAGATGATGATCAAGCCTATTGACTGAAAGAGAGACAGTCTCCAACTTAAATGACATAGAACTCTGTATTTTTCAGTTCCTAAAAATGTAAATGTTACATATATATTGTTTTGCACAACTCATTGCTACAGATACAGTTTTTAAAACGAATGTTACCATAACTGTAAAAGGGGATTTATAAATGTAGTTTCATCTTCCTCAATATACTGCAGAAGGTTATTTGTACCCACAACCCTAGTTATTTTAAAAACTATATTGATTAAATACAGGCAAAGTTTGTTTTATAAAATGTAAATATTTGCCACAATGTATAACAAATCTTAGCTTTATTTTAAATCAAAACTGAATACATGTTCAAGAACAACTTATTTAAAAACTTTGAGATTGCTCTAACTTCCAACAGAAAAATAATTTTAAGATTTCAAGCCAAGTAACACATTTTATTTATAAAAATATAGACAGGAAATTAGAGAAAACTCTAGTTTTGCCAACAGAAAATATATTTTGCATTGAATAAAAGTTATTTCAAATTGAATTTGTGCCTTTCCCATGAAATGATTAGATCTGAATTCTTGACAACATATTTTATGCCAATTTCCCAAAAGAATTAAGTGACCCACGGGACCCACGGTATTAAAATACGTATTTTTAAAACAAAAATAATGTATGCAATATTTAAATAGTCAATTTACAAAAATAGAAATATACAAATGATTTTTTCAATATCATCTTCATATGATTTGCTGAACATCAAAATTTCCTGAAATGCATGTTTAGTTGTATCAGCAAAATACTGTTATTACAAAAATTTAGTAAGCCAAAGATTTTCAGATCTGAATTATAACTAAGTTTATTTATTAATTCTCTGCTCACCCTACCCCCAAATCTGCTATTCAAAAGTCAGAAAGCTTGGAGAGCTTTACAAGCATTACCACATACTGACGGTTGGGACTAATACAATTTCGAGGAACTGAGATTCAATAGCTTCAGAGCAGAATCCACAGGGGCTTGGCTGGTCCAATTTGCTTATTCCATCTTATGGTGTGTGTGTCATTTACTCACCTTTGGATCTAACAACTTTATTACCAACCTTCTGCAATAATTTCCTTCCAGAAACATGTTCATTGGTTACAGATGGCCTTCCCTTCATTCACGAACTAAAATTTTAGAGAGATCTCACGACTTTTGCTTCAAGCAGAAAGAAAAACCCAATCAGAACTGAAGATGACCATTTGAACAACTCATGCCTACCAACATAACCAATGTTTTTCTTGTCACATGTTAAAATTAAAATTCTGGTGAAAGAAGTAAAGAGAACGTCAAAACCTTATAGTATTATTATTCTTTTTTTTACTTATGGTCATCTTCAAATGGTTTTGAAGTCCCTCCTACCATCCCCAGAACAACAACAACAAAAAATCTGGTGTAAGACTTCTGGGATGGGGCGCCCAGGTGAGTCAGTTGGTTAAGCATCTGCCTTTGGTTCAAATCATGATCCCAGGGTCCTGGCACTGAGTCCCCCATTGGGCGCCCTGCTCAGCCCGGAGCCTGCTTCTCCCTCTCTCTCTGCCCCTCTCCTCTACTCATGCTCTCCCCTCTCTCAAATAAACAAATCTTAAAAATCTTATTAAAAAAAAAGATTTCTGGGACAAATTAGGCATCTAGTTGTTATATCAAATCTTACCGGAATAAAATTTTCCTAGGGCATTCCATTTATTGACAGAACTACAGCATTTCACTTAAACATCCAAAACCCTAACAAAGGCAAGTCTTACAGAATTTTCACAGAAAAGGAATATTATATTAGTAAAACTAGAATGATGTGAAAGTCCACATACAAACTAGAAAACTGGGCTGAATGCTAAACTGTCCTGGCCACTGGGCCCACTCTGTTCTCCTTTACAGACACGATATAGCTCTGTTCTGGAGTTCCTAGAGAGCAGGGAATAAGCAGCAGAATTATATGACGGCTAAGGGTAAGTTCTAAAGTCAGTACTGCTTGGGTCTGTGGCCTAACTCTACCAATTTACTAGCTGTGTTACCCGGGGTGGTCTTTATACTCTGTTTTCTTACCTATAAAATGAGGATACAAACAGTACCTAGCTCATGTGGTTACTACGAAAATCAAATGAAAATTTATGTAAATAAATACATGTGGTAGAACATTTAGAATAAAAATCCTTGATGTAAGTAAGGACTCTGTAGACTTTGGCTATCAGATTATTACTATTCATCTATGTACTTTCTGCCACACTTGCCGTGGTGCCTTGCATAGAGTAGGTGATCAACAAATGTGTTAAAAAGAAATACTACCCAAGTTTTCAGACATAAAATTACTTTGATCTATGATCTTCATTTGCAAACCCAACAGCCCTAAGAAACCAGATCATAAGACAAAATAAAGAAAAATTAAGGTGAGGATATTCATGGTAGGAATTTCAGCCAAATGAGGATCTTCTGAGAGATTAAACGGGTCACTTGTGGACACAGGTTACCTAGGAATAAAGACATGGTTGCCCTACCTTCAGTAAGACTGAACTGTAACCTTGGAGCTGGGTTACAAAAGGATTCAGTTATTTTTAATAAATGAAATGAAACTTATCCTAAGAATGATTTAGACTCTATTCTGTACTCAGTGGGAGATACCATCAATGTCTAGGCAACTTGGCATCTCTGACATAGACTTTAAAAACTTAAGATTTTGAATAATGCCAGTATTAGACAATGCCTTGAAATTCAGTAGGTATCTACAAATAAACTTATCCTCAGGCTCCAAGCCTGGTAGAGTATAACAAGCAAATTTTCAGTCTAGTGCTCACTTGACTCTATGTATGAGTCATGATATGAGAATGCTAATTCTTCTACTGTTGTATTTCTTAGGACTCCTACTGGTAATAATATAATAAGTGTATAAAAACTTCTGAAATTATGAAAATGTTCAAAATTACTTATAAACCTGTACTAATATGATTTTTATATACTTAATAGTAAGTTAAAGATTATACCCTAACAAAATTATAGTCTTTTTAGTGTCTATGAAAGATAACCAAGTTAGAAAAGAATGATTCCACTTACAACGCCCAAGTCCCCTCCCCCTCCTTCCCTAAAGCCATCTAAAAACAAGTTCACTTTTTAATTTTATCAGTGGGAGGGCGCCTGGGTGGCTCAGTTGGTTGGGCGACTGCCTTCGGCTCAGGTCATGATCTTGGACTCCCAGGATCGAGTCCCGCATTGGGCTCCCTGCTCGGCAGGGAGTCTGCTTCTCCCTCTGACCCTCCTTCCTCTCATGCTCTCTCTATCTCATTCTCTCTTTCAAATGAATAAATAAAATCTTTAAAAAATATAAAAAAATAATAATAATTTTATCAGTGGGAGTAATAGTTATTAAGTTGTAATTCTATAGATAATTATAGGAAAGACTTGACAAATGAACTCAAAATTTTAATTTCAATACAGATACCCAAAATATTAATATTATTCCCTAATGCTTTCTTTGAACTATAAATGAAATAGTTATAATGCATATCTTTATAGCAAGTCAATTTAACCTCCCTTGTCTCAGTTTCTTCACTATTAAAATATGAATAATAATAGTATCACTTACCTTATAAAATTGTTAAGAATTAGATAATTTATGTAAAACAGAGTTGGGCATACAGGATTAAGTGCTGAATAAATGTCAGTTACTAAGATTTTTATTATTCTTTTCCTGTTAAGGTTTGCTCAAAAAATTACAAAATGTTTTTACTGAAACATCAACAAGCAGAAATGCCACTGGCAAAGCTACTGGAACGGGGTGGGGGGGGGGGGAGTCCGACTCTGTTTATGATTAAAATGCAGATCTGTCTAGCTGCTACACATTATTTTTAAGGTAAAAGCTCTTAAATAAAGACTATGAACAGGGTAAAGAAATTAATGCAACCCTAGCCCCAGCCTTTTTATATCACAAGTCCTCAAGTGATCTACAGTAAACCAGAAAATTACCATTAAAGAATGTTCGAGGAATTTTAGATATATAAAAAAGAATGAGGGCAAAAAGGGTATGTGAGGTAATGGAAAATGCAGATGTAATCTTGGCTAAAGAAAAAGCTAGGGCTAGCTGCCATTTGGTCAGAGCTCATTCTCGGGATTCAAAAGAAAGTGACTGAACATGCTTTATTGCTGTTTTAGAATACAATATATAATCTAGTGAGAAGAAGAAGGTAAAGTACTCCATGGTGTATATTATCTACAAATCAAACCAAAGAAAGGAGAAGGGAATAAAAGTCTTGAAATATCAAAAGCCAGTGATATTTTTGGACCATTAGACATTTTTGAGACCCAGTGTCGGAACCTTTTATATGTTTAAGCAAGTAAAACTCTACCAAGGGAGAAGAGGAAAACTCATTAATTTCCACAGAGCTGCAGACAGCTTTGGGTTTTGTCAAAATTACCTGAATAAAAATGTGGATAAAAACCTAATATTTTTGAAAAATATTTGTACACGGGTTAGTAGAAATTTCTAAAACTAAAGTAAAATAGGGACGCCTGGATGGCTCAGTTGGTTAAGCGTCTGCCTTCGGCTCAGGTCATGATTCCAGGGTCCTGGGATTGAGTCCCGCATCGGGCTCCCTGCTCAGTGGGGAGCCTGCTTCTCCCTCTCCCTCTGGTGCTCCCCCTGCTTGTGCACACGTGTGCTTTCTCTCTTTCTCTCTGTCAAATAAATAAATAAAATCTTTAGAAAATAAAAAAATAAAGTAAAATAGAGAACTGTATCCTAATAAGAGATCAAGATAGGTTAAAACTACTGAAAAATAAGAGAGGATCAGATGAAATCAGAAGATCATTGTTAGTTTAGGCATGCTTTCTTTAAACATTTCATTAGGTGTGATGAGGACACCACTAACAAGGCCTGGCAATGAAATGTACCACTTCCACGACACAGGAGAGAGAAGAGATTATTCACAAGGTAATGATGTCAATCTGAGCCTCTGGTATTAAAGAGATGTTAACTCCCATAAGGGCAGGGACAAAGTCCGTTTTGTGGCACCACCCATACTGCTGACCAGATACTTGTTGGCCAGCTCATATACCAAAAGAAAACTGGGGTGGGTAGGAAGCTGATGTATACTAAACTGCCTCATTAATAAATCTATTGTATTTAAAACAATAAAGTTACTGGAGCAATGAGAAGAGCCAGAAAGGGATCATTAATTAATTCAACCAATAAATAGTAAGTGCCTACTTTTGTTCTAGATGCTAAGGATAAAGCCTTGAACCAAGAGATAAGAGCTTATACTCTGCCAAGGGAGAGAAAGATGAATGAAACATCATAGTGAAAATAAAATGGTGCTTTTCAGAATCAAGAATGGAGGGGACACGATATTACAGAAGATTATAAGGACAGCTTTTCTTTTCTCAAAAAAAAAAAAAGGCCAATTATGAATATCTAACAAATCAAAAATTAAAGTGTGTGTGGGGGGGAGGGAGTCTCTTACAAGAGTGAGAGGAGTCACACCTAGACACATCAAAACAATGTACGCATGTACTACAGAAAGGCAGGAGATTTTACAGAAACTTCTTTGCTTCTACTTGATCAAAAGCAATAAAAAGAACTACAATGATTATTTATTTCTGTTTTTTTAAAACATGCTTTCTTTCCCAGAAAACATCCTGAGCTTGTTAAGCTACTGCTTTTTCCCCAAACTACATGAATAAAGTAGAAATGAGGCTAGGATATGCACACAAAAGAATATTTACATTTCATACAACTAAATTTTTATTTTTGCACAACATTCTATTTTTCTCTCTCCAGCAAAGCAAAACTTCCCACACCAAATTCTTCAATAAGCCCCTTAAGATTTTTCTCCAATGACAAGAACAAATGAGTGCTGTTAATAATTTTCAGATTTAAAGCAACAATTCTCATATAAAACAATTTTTTCCTTGAGATTTGCCAAACTATTCCTCTCCAGAAATACTGCATCCTTATTCTAAGAATTTTTCACTATATTGTCCAGGCTGACTAATTTTTACCTTGAATGCAAACCAACAGAAGAGACAATTTTTCAAGGGACGATGAGTTGAAAGCCAAGAAAACATTTTTACTTCTTATAATTTAATCCACATTGAATTGTAGATAAATTTGGCAGTATCAAACTAAGAGTTTTGTCAGCATATAAACTGCCACCTCCTTTTTAAAGCTTCTCTAAGAATGGCTGGTTTTGGTCATAATGCTTAGAAGCAAAAACACCCTAAGTTTGGATTCCATCTCTCATGTTAACAAACAGATGATTTGCCTTCACCTTTTCTCTGTGCACTGTAGATTCTTTCTGTTGATACACTCTTTCCATAAGAACCTTTGCACCATAAGGGATAAAAGGTGGCATTATGCAAATTCTGTATACTGAGGAGAGATAGTTAAATAGAAGCTACCAGTATGCATAACGAGTACCATCTTTCCAACATCTTCAGGGCAAGTTCTGTCCTATCCAACAGCATCTTGTAAATGTTGACATTTGGGGCAACTGCACTAGTTTCCTAAGAGTGGGAAAGGATTCCGAAAACAAGACAACTTAAATATAAAAACCACAGTCCTCATCAATTTTAAATTAGAATAAAATATGAAAAAAGCAAATATTAACAGGACATAAACTGTTGTTTAGTCTTCATTCTTTAAAACACTTCAGTATTAAAGATCAGGAATGAAAAAACAAACCAGCTGCGTAAGATATTAAATCAAGCAGTCAAAAAGTTGTATAAATTGAATATGCTTCACATTTTCTTAGAAAAAGCATGTATGTTTTGGAAGATGGAATGCATTTAATCTCAAGGTTCGCTGTACAACAAAACTGTCACTACATTAAAAGGATTATTTTCATGATGGAAACAAACTGAGTCATAATAACTTATCTAACAAACGTTAAGTTTTCCTTTCTCCAGTCTACCAAAAGTGTATATTGCCAAATGTTCCACAATTATCTCACAATCTCAGATGCTTATTTACAAACTACCACCGGGATGAACTATTACATGAAGACTACCAACATATAAAATTATGTAGATGCTAAAAAGTATGTTGTATTTTAACTTCAGTTCTTTGCCATTTTTTCCCCTTTCGGTTTCTAATTCTTGGATAACTCTCAGAAACACGAATCTCATTTCATTAGGCAACATGAAAATTAGAGGATAATTCCAGTAAAAAACCTAGGTTTTCAGTGTGGTGGAGTGGCATAGATAATGCTACACCATGCTCACTGGAAGACCAAGTGAGGACATTAAGATAGGTTTAGAGGAAGGAGGAAGGATGACGAAGTTACTTCTAAACATGCTGAATTAGAGTTACCTACAGACATCTCATCCAATTGGTATTTGATATCTAAAATGTTACTAGGCACTGGGAATTGCTAGACAGCTGGATGTACCAGAACTGGTAGGCTAGATCTGGGATTGAACTGGGTGAATTATGGAAGAAGTCTGAATGAGACCACTCCAGAGAGTACAGCGTAAGTAAAAGCAGTGCACTGAGACTTTCAGAAGAATAGATGTAAAAAAAAAATGCAGAGAAACAGGACTCAATAAAACAAAAGCCAGAAAGTAAAGGTAAACCAAGAGAATGGTGCTACTCCTGGAAAATTTCAAGAAACAAGTAACTACCATAAACCTCACAAAATTAATATGAGGCTTGAGAAATACCTACCAGACTTTTTTTTTTAAGATTTTCTTTCTTTATTTGACAGAGAGAGACACAGCGAGAGAGGGAACACAAGAGAGGGAGTGGGAGAGGGAGAAGCAGGCTTCCCGCTGAACAGGGAGCCTGACGTGGGGCTCAATCCCAGGACCCTGGGATCATGACCTGAGCCGAAGGCAGACTCTTAATGACTGAGCCACCCAGGCACCCCCCTATCAAACATTTCAACTAGGAAATCAATGGTGACCTTATTGGGAACATTTTTTTTTTTTTTTTAAAGATTTTATTTATTTATTCATGAGAGACAGAGAGAGAGAGAGGCAGAGGGAGAAGCAGGCTCCCCGCGGAGCAGGGAGCCCGATGCGGGACTCGATCCCAGGACCTGACCCGAGCCGAAGGCAGACGCTTAACCGACAGAGCCACCCAGGCGTCCCTACTGGGAACATTTCTATGACTGAAGAGGGAGACAACCGCATGCTGAGCAAAAGAAAACAGCAAGAAAAGGAGAAAGGAATAGGGTACTTTATTAGCTTAGGTAAATAGTGAGAAGGAAGAGTCTGGGGCATGAGAACATATAAAATGAAAATGAACTGAAGAGAGAAGTAGTCAACCACTGGAGACCAAACTGAAGATACAGGAAAGATAATGGTTCTAATATTTTCTCCAAATCAACTTCTGCACCTCAATATTCGCCTCATTTGCTTTAACTAACAGGAATATCACTGTGTTTGTTTCAGGTACCAAGGCTGGGAGAAAATAGGTATACTCTCTAATAGACAACAACCTTTCCAGATTCCACTAAACTCCAATCATGCTGGTGGTTTCCTCCCCTTCTCTCTGTTTCTTCTCTACATACATGACAGGGCAAATATGTATGCAGACGCACAGACAACTTCAAATCCTGTACTGAAGTCTCTGCTGTGGAAAAATGTAAAGCAGACTCCTGAACTAGACATCATGGCACCAAGATTTATATTCATTTGCTCATTTTCAACAAAAAAGAACCTTTATTTCCTTTTCTAAAAGATACTAATTGTGGAATTTGAGAAAAACATTTCCGTGAGAAACAAATACAATCATAGAATCAGTCAATTTTGGAAAGAGAATTTAACAGAGACAACTGGAAAGACTTCAGAATGCAGATCGGTCAGTAACTTGGTCTTAGGACTATTAAGTCAAGCCTTCCACCTTCTGGACCTTAATTTTCTAAATTATAAAATAAGTGAATAGAAGAAATCACCATGGTTCCATCCAGCCTAAAGAAGAACATGATTCTGGTCCTTTGTGTGCTATTTCCAAGTAAGGAGAACCAAGGTTCAAAGAAGACAATTCAATGACTTGAAAAGTTAATACAGAAGAGCCATTCTGGAATTGAGGGTTGCTGATTCTCAGTCTAATGTTCTTTAAGTTATAAAAAGTTTATGTTCTTACAGAATATGAAGATATTGATGATTTTTAAAAAATCCCCTATTCTTCCTCACCCCCAATGACATTTTCAAGAATGGGCACAGCCAAGGCCATGGTGAAAAGTTGAGCACATGCAGAAAGTTTCTCCTAACATCTAGCTTACAGCCTCTCTGATGGAGTCATGTGTACTATGGCCCTATACTTTTTTTATCAAAGAAACGACACAGTATTCTGCTTTGTAGTGGCCATTATCCATGCTGTGCTTGGGATATTCTGCCTTCAACCAGAATGCACAACATTCCCTATTTTCACTGGAATCCTATGATGTTCTACTTCTCGTGAGTTCTTCTCTGAAAAACTAAGGCTGATGCTCTAATGCAGCTGAATGAAAGTATTCTCAATTGCCTCTGTCTCTACTTTGTCTTCTAGTCACTGGTATCATAAAGACCTCAAAGACAACACTGAGACATTTAAACAAATAACAGATTTCTCAATTACATACAAAAATAGTTACTGTGAAATCCACTGTGAGTAATTACATGAAGACCATGGAGATAGAGGACAAAAAGGGTTATTAGAAACAACTCTATCATTTGATTACTCTCTGCACAGGATCAAATCAATTTATCTTAATATATGCTAGGCATATATCATATAGAGTACTTTCTGTATTTAAACTTACACGCACATTTTAAAATAGGCGGTATGAGACTTCATTCAAACACCTAACAAAGCATTATTCCTTTTTTGTTGAAAATAAACTTATATGTATTTGGTTACACATTTCTTGGAATTTATAAGCACTGTAAAATATATAATAAGGAGATAAAGTCTTAGTGAAATGATATATAAAGTAAACATTTGGTTGTCTCAGCACTTAGCTAAATTTTCACAGCTAAATAACTTACACCATCCAGGAAAACAATACCAACATTCATTGAGACTACTTTTCATAACTCACCCTAAGAGATCTGCCAATTATATAAGATAATAGGAACTCATGATATTGAAAATAAATTCAGTAAATCTTTTGATCAATTTCTTTAGTTAATGTTAAATGTTTTTGCAGCATTAAACTTCATTGCACACTATTTCACTCTTTAAAAGCATTAAGAAAAGAGCTAAAATGTATTATTCTTCCACTGTCCATCTTTAAGAAAAAATGATAGTCTATGAAAAACCTTAAGGGCAAAAGGCTAATTTAATATGAAAATACATTCCAGGTAACAAGGTAACATATTTCTTTACTCAATTTTTTAAACTTAACAGTCTGGCAGTAATTTCGTTAAAGGATATACACACTTTTAAAATATCTTGGATTTCATATAAATTACTGATTAATCAAGACAGAACAACTGGGCATAATGAACACACAGTGACATTACTCACCTAAATAGGGAATGCAAGGCGTCATCTTTAAGCTACTTATATAGTCTCTTAGTCTTTTGTAATTATCTTCTTTACTCATTACATATTCTAATTTTTCAAAGGTAGTTTTGTCTTTTCGACTTAGTAACTAAAAAACAAACAGAAAAGTCTAAGTTATTCCAAAATTCCATTTTATTACAGCAAAGACTTGAAGCTATATTTACTACAAATTTAAATTTCAAAGTTATACCTTCTTCAATTATACTTCACTAGTGTATAAATGAAACAAAATCAGACATGTCTATTAAAATAATAACTCCAGGGGTGCCTGAATGGCACAGTCAGTTAAGCGGCCAACTCCTGGTTTTAGCTTAGGTCATGATCTCAGCACCATGATCGAGCCCTGCATCGGGCTCTCTGCTCAGCAGAGAGTCTGCTTGAGATTTTCTCTTTCTATCCCTCTGCCCCTCCCACTCGTGCTGTCTCTAAAAATAAATAAATTCACATTTTATAAAATATAATATCCTTTGTTGTACATAAAATCATTAACTAAGGAGTAAATAATAATACATTATTTCTCATCTTCACTATTTTATTTTTAAATTTTTTAAAAGATTTATTAATTTGTCAGAGACAGAAAGAGAGAGCACAAGCAGGGGGAGCAGTAGAAAGAGGGAGAAGCAGGCTCCCTGCTGAGCAAGGAGCCCAATGTGGGACTTGATCCCAGCACCCTAGGATCATGACCTGAGCCGAAGGCAGACGCTTAACCAACTGAGCCACCCAGGCGTCCCTCATCTTCACTATTTTAAATGGTTGAACAATTTTGTTGATCATTTTCCTAACTTAAAATAATCACATATTCATATCCAGCTCAAATGTCCAAATATTTTAATACACTGTCCCCTGCCTCCTCAAAGATAAAGATCATTCTTGCATAATCATTAAGAGATAAATACTGAATTTTGTGGTTTCAGTAACAATTTTTCTTGGCTAGTCCTAACAATAACCATAAAACTGTGATTCACATTTTTGGATTTTTAACAAGACACTTTTTCTTTGATCCTGTTCATCAGTGCTATATCACATACAGTTGAACAATCAACAGAAATTGTTTTAGGAAGCTTAAGGGGTAGATTTGCAGTGAGTGTCCTTTGAGGAAAATGAAGACAATCAAGGGGAATAAAAGAAAAGTAAGGTCAATTACCCAAAATAGTATTAACTACGTGTTATTTCTTGCGTTATTGATTTCAGCCATTCTGACAGGTGTGATACCTCATTGTGGTTTTGATGTGCATTTCCCCAGGGATCAGTGATGTTGAGCAACTTTTCATGTTGGCTGTCTGCACGTCTTCTTTGGAAAAAGAAGGTCCCCTGCCCATTTTTAAATTGGATTTTTTTTGCTGTTGAGTTGTATAAGTTCTTTATATATTTTGGATATTAATCCCTTCTCAGATCTATCATTTATAAATATATTCTTCCATTCAATAGGCTTTTTATTTTGTTGATGGTTTCCTTTGCTGTACAGAAACCTTTTATTTTGGTACAGTCCAAAAAGCTTAATTTTGTGTTTGTTTCCTTTGCCAAGGAGACTTATCTAGAAAAATGTTCCTACAGCTGATGCAAAAGACATTACTGCCTATATTTTCTTCCAGGAATTTTATGGTTTCAGGTCTCACATTTAATCCATTTTGAGTTTATTTTTGTGTATGGTATAAGGAAGCGGTACAATTTCATTCTTTCACATGCAGCTGTCCGGTTTTCCCAACACCATTTGTTGAAGAGACTGTCTTTTTCCCATTGGATAGTCTTGCCTCCTCTGTCTTAGATTAACTGGCTATACGAGCATAGGTTTACTTCTGGACCTTATTCTGCTCCATTGATCTATGTGCCTATTTTTGTGCCAGTAACATATGTTTTGATTACTACAGCTTTGTAGTGTATCTTGAAATCTGGGATTGTGATGCCTCCAGCTCTGTTGTTCTTTTTTCAAGAATGCTTTGACTATTTGGGGTCTTTCATGGTTCCATACAAATTTTAGGATTATTTGTTCTAGTTCTGGTAAAAATGCTATTGGTATTTTGTGTTGGCAAGGATGTGGAGAAGGAGGAGTCCTCATGCACTGTTGGTGGGAATGCAAATTGGTGCAGCCGCTGTGACATGGTATGAAAGTTCCTCAAAAAATTAAAAATCGAATTACTATATGATCCAGTAATTCCACTACTGGGCATTTAACCAACGAATTTGAAAAGATACATGCACTCCTTAAACATGTTTATTGCAGCATTATTTACAGTAGCTGAGTATGGAAGCAACCCAAGTGTTCCTTGACAGATGAATGGGTAAAGAAGATGTGGTATATATAGATATACAATGGCATATTACTCAGTCATAAAAAAGAATGAGATCTTGACATCTGCAATAGCATGGATGGACCTAGAGTATATAATGCTAAGTGAAATAAGTCAAATAAAAGAAAGACAAGTATCATATGATTTCACTCATGTGTGGAATTTAAGAAACAAATGAACAAAGAAAAAAAGAGACCAAAACAAACAAACAAAAACCCTAAAAAAACAAAACCAGACTCTTAAATATAGAGAACAAACTGGTGGTTGCTAGGGGAGATGGGGGGGAATGGATGAAATAGAGGGAATTAAGAGAACACTCATCTTGATGAGCACTGAGAAATGTAAAGAATTGTTGAATCACTATATTGTACATCTGAAACTAATATAACACTGTATGTTAATTATACTTGAATTAAAAAAGGATATTTAAAAAATATTAATTAAAAATTCAGAAAATACGTTTTTAAGTATTTCAAAGACTCTGGAAAAATGTATTTTTTTCTTTAAACATATAGTTACTATTTCATTATGATGTAACAAACTTCACTTTGTCATAAAATGTTATTTTTTTAGCACACAAAATACACCCACCTATAAAATGCTCATCTAATTCTATGAGGTTAACAGAAAATCTGAAGATTAATTTAGAGATGAGGAAACAGAGATTCAAAGTTGATCACAGGATTAGCAAGAAGCAGAACATACTAATACTCTCTCAGTCATCCACTCACAAAGGCACAGGTCCCTGTTTTTCAGTGTCTCAGTTTGGTTCTGGAGATAAGGAATATTCTGATGCCAAATCCACTACTCTTTATATATAGTATTACAAGGAGTACAACTGGGATTCATGTTGGAATTTATTTTTTCATGGGCTCCAAGATGCAGATTATTTTCAGATAATCTTTATCAGGAAAATGTCTGATCAGCATTCCTCCCTCTTTAAAACAGAAGATTTTAAGGAGTCTTTTGTTTTAATATTTTAGGTAGTCCATGGTCTAAAACAGCAGTTGCATAATCTTTTGCTTGGCACAGCTTCAACATACTTAATAGCATTTTCAAGATCAGGTACAAATCTCTGCTGCTACCTGTAAGTCCAACTATCCCTTTCTCTCTCACCTAACAGAGTATTTGGATATGGAAAATACAGTGATGTGACATAGCAGGGGTAACAATAAACCTGTTCTTTTTTTCTTAATCCTTCAAAAACTTTGGTACAATATCAGGAGAAACACAACTGATTTTACCACATCTGAAACACAAAACTGTAGTAAAGAACTACATGGTCTAATATGTATAAAAAGGGGCGCCTGGGTGGCTCAGTCGGTTAAGCGTCTGCCTTTGGCTCAGGTCATGATCTCAGGGTCCTGGAATCGAGCCCTGCGCCGGGCTCCCAGCTTGGTGGGGAGTCTGCTTCTCCCTCTCCCTCAGCCCCTGCCCCCTGCTTGTGCCTCTCTCTTGTGCTCTCTTTCTCTTTCTCAAATAAATAAAATCTTAAAAAAATACTATGTATAAAAATAACTTACATTTTGGAATTTTCACAATAATCAATAACCAGATTAAAAGGATTCAGTCTGGTGTGGGATAGCAGAGACTTGTTTCAGGAAGACTATTTACAGGAAGAGTATGGACAAAATAATTAATTAGATGTTAAAATAAGGTGTTTCCAATGATAGCTCAGAAACTCATCCAAAGCTCATGTACCAAAGCTATTATCTAAGAAGTCCTGATTTTCTTTTTCTCCTTTTCAAATCTTTCTCTGGTGTTCCTAATGTTATCCCTACGATGTTACTTCACTATACTCTTCCCTCCAAAAAAGGGGAAAACAAAGTGGTTCACAAAGTTCCAACTCTCCATGTTTTAGGCACCAAACTCTTCCTCTGGCTAAGAGCATGACAACCAGGGGCAAAGCTCTTCACATGTTCACTGGTGCATGAATGTGGGAACTCCAAATGTTCCTGGCCAGATCTCTACACCATGTTACCATAACAATCTACTTTGGGAAAATTTGGATGAATCCCTGTTCATGTCAGTCACCATATGAAATACAAGATTCCCAGATCACCCCTCATCACCTTGATTTGTATCCTCATACAATATGTACAAATGTGTTCATTTGCATAAATAAGTTATTTATCTTGAACCTTGGATGCAGATTAATTATAATCTTTTGTTCATGACACTCAATTAGTCCCTGATATGGCTTTCTTGTTAAATTGATTTATTCTTAAATTTTGTGACAAATACACATGCATTAATTTTCCTACCGAAGAACCATACACCAATAATACATCTACATATGTGCTCCTTTCATATCCAATTCCCTTGACTTTTTTTTTTATTTTTTATTTTTTTTTTAAAGATTTTAATTTATTTATTTGACAGAGAGAGACACAGCAAGAGAGGGAACAC